CTCCTGCTCCCTATGCCCAGGCTGTGGCCCCACCCAATGCCAGCGGGCCCAGCACTGCCCAGCCCCGGCCCCCCAGTGCCCAGCCGAGCGGGGGAAGTGGTGGTGGCAGCGGAGGGAGCAGCAGCAATAGTAACAGTGGCACAGGCGGAGGGGCTGGCAAGCAAAACGGTGCCACCAGTAAGTGGAGGCCAGTTTGGGGGACAGGGCAAGGTGGGCAGTGGCTGACAGGCCTGTTTACACTTGCCCTTCTTTCCCCAGGCTATAGTTCGGTTGTGGCAGACAGCCCAGCAGAGGTGGCCCTGAGTAGCAGTGGGGGCAGCAGCGCCAGCAGCCAAGCCCTGGGACCCACTTTAGGCCCTCACAACCCAGCTCCCAGCACCTCGTAAGTTCTGGGGTGGCAGAGTGTGGGCACAGGCCCTCATGCTACCCTTGCTTCAGGATTTCAAGTCCTGCCCTTGGTGGGTGTTGTCCATTGCATTCTACCTTTACCCCAGCAAGGGTTCTTGTCCCTGCTTCTTACTACTTGGACATGTGTACTTTAGTTCCCAGCTTCACCCTCTCTTTTATTTATTTTTCACTCTGGGTTTCAGACTATGCTATTTCCTCATTTCTGTTTGTTCTGAGGCAACCTGACTCCCATGGGTGTGGGGGCTTTTCCTTTCTCCAAGTAAAATGTCCCAGTCCTCCATTTCTTCAACCTGACATCAGATTACTCCAGGTGTTTCCAAACATATGCTGAATGAACTATCTTCCATCTTGCCTGCCTCATTACTAGCCTTAGTGGGATTGTACCAAGTGCATCTGTGCAAGGCTATTTATTCTGGGATAGGAGCTTTATTTCGAATCTGCCTTAGTAACAAACAGCTCTGGAACTATCTTATCCCCTGTCTTTTAGCCTCATAAGCTGTAAAGGGATCCTGTTTTGAATCCTGTATTCTGTGCTCATCCACCTTCAAGGACCTTAATCTGAATTTCCTTCATTCTTTGCCCAGAAAGGAATCCAGTACAGCAGCCCCATCGGGGCCTGGGAGTGTGGCTTCAGGCTCAGGGAACAACTCAGGGGGACCCAGCCTTTTGGTGCCTCTACCTGTGAATCCTCCCAGTTCTCCAACGCCCAGCTTCAGTGAGGCCAAGGCAGCTGGAACCCTGCTCAATGGTCCTCCACAGTTCAGTACCACCCCAGAGATCAAGGTGAGCTCAGGTGTGGGTCCTGAGCCTATCCCAGTGTGTGCACTTTTCTAGGGGGTTAGGGGGAAGCATCTTAGAAGTTCTCATAAATGGGAGATGGGATTTTAGCATGGTTTTGAAGGGAGAAGAAACAAAGTGACACCTTGTAAAGAGGTTCCTATGAGGCTATGGATGGGATGGGGACTAGGCCTTCCTTATCTGTGATTAGTGTAGAATGAGTCCCTCCAAGAGACCTAGGGTACAGGTCTGTGGGTGGGCTTGGTGATGGAATAGTTGTACAGAGTGGGTAGAAGCGTCAGTCCTAAGCTGCTTCACCAGGGAAAGCAGTGTGGGGGCTGCAGACCCAACCCACTGATGTTCCCAAGGAGACTGAATGCCCAACACCTTCAAGGCAATAAAAGAGCCTGCAATTCTGCCAGCCACCTCCCTCAAGATGCCCATACTACTGTGGGAAGTCCAATGGGCATTCCCCCAGCATGTGGTGTCTTTATGGAAGTGTGTGCTTATTCACTGTGAACTTAGTAAGTTCTTGTTTCCTCTGAAATGTGTCAGAATTGCACAGTGGAGAGAGTCAGTGGACCACCTTCTGATGGTGACCTCAGATTTGCAGCTTCCCTATAGCCATGGTGTTTAGCATTATATAGGTAGATCGTCAGTAGGGAACTGGCAACAGCAGATTAGGAAGAGTGTACAGAGCCTGTCAGGCTATGCATTTTTATGCAGCCATCTCTGCTCCAGGTCCTGAGGCTGGGCCCCTTTCTCTTCTCAGGCCCCTGAACCTCTGAGCTCTCTGAAATCCATGGCGGAACGGGCAGCTATCAGCTCTGGTATTGAGGACCCTGTGCCAACGTTACACCTAACAGAGCGAGGTGACAGTAGTGGGATGGTGGGGAGGGCAAAGACCAAAAGGAGGAGCTGATCTCGTCCTCATCATTGAGGGGCCTGGTGGCCCATCCCTCCCTACAGACATCATCCTGAGCAGCACATCAGCACCACCCACCTCAGCCCAGCCACCTCTGCAGCTGTCAGAGGTGAACATACCATTGTCACTGGGTGTGTGTCCACTGGGGCCAGTGTCTCTCACCAAGGAGCAGCTATACCAACAGGCCATGGAAGAGGCCGCCTGGCACCACATGCCCCACCCCTCTGACTCTGAGCGAATTCGGTGAGGGGCTGCTCTGCAGAAGGGGCTGGGGACCCGGGACTCCCCTGTCTGAGGGAGGAGCTGGTTCCTGGGTCCTGAGAGACTAGGTAGAGTATTTGCCTCAAAGTGCTGAGGACTTGCCTTGGGGCTCCCTATAGTAGGTTGGAGTGGGCTTCTGAACACCTTCCTGAAGGCAGGGCAGGAGCTGGAAATTACCCGGTGCTAAATCCTCACTGGTTCACAGGCAGTACCTCCCCCGGAACCCTTGCCCGACACCCCCCTACCACCACCAGATGCCACCCCCACACTCGGACACTGTGGAGTTCTACCAGCGCCTGTCAACTGAGACGCTCTTCTTCATCTTCTATTATCTGGAGGTACAGCAGGGCCCCTGGGGCAGCCTCTGGCCCCCCAGCTCCGCCGCCACCGCTGCCATCCCCCCTCAGGCTGGAGGGGCGAGGTGGGTGTCCCACTGCGGCCACTGGGACCGCACCCCTCCCTTTCCCAGTCCTGGGCCCCCTCAAATCAAACCTGTCCCAGTCCCAGGGCATTCCAATTGCTCAGACTCAGGCAGAGGCTAGACCATGTACAGTTTCTACTGCCAAGAGCCCTCAGCTCCTGGGAAGCCCTTTAGATGAGGATAGCTGCTGAAGCGCAATAGACACTCCCAGAGACCTCGGTAAACTGACCTGACTGCAGTGAGTCAGCCCCTCCCTTGCTCCTTGAGAAGTTTTCTATATCTCCCATTAGTTTCTCTTCTTTCTCAAAGCTTTTCTGAAAGCAATTCTCACCTCCTGTCTCATTTTCTTCTGGCCATGGTATGTTTTGTGCTCTCAGCATTGTCTCCCAGTGGACTCTCCACCCAGCTGGTCTGTGGTGGGGTCCTGGGTCCAGCCCTGATGCCCAAGTCCTTTCCCCCTGCTGCCTTCTCAGTTTAGCTATTTTCTGATCTTCCTCCTGGCATTATTTTTCTCGCAGGGAACCAAGGCACAGTATTTGGCAGCCAAGGCCCTAAAGAAGCAGTCCTGGCGATTCCACACTAAGTACATGATGTGGTTTCAGAGGCACGAGGAGCCCAAGACCATCACAGATGAGTTTGAGCAGGTGAGGGCCCCACCCAACCTTGTCCCACACTAGTGTCCCTAAGCCCAATCCTCAACCCTGCTGGCCCTTCTCCTTCAAGTAATCCTGTAGACTGGCCAAGCTGGTCCTCTACGCTGTTCACCTGTCCTAGGATACTGTCCCGTTCCATTTGTCCACTCCTCAGTGCTTTTGTTCTGAGCCACTTTATCTCTTCCAAAGAGAAGCCTTCTTGGAGCTGCTAACTGCCTCCACTGTGCAGACCTGGGTACTTTATTACTTGGGAGTATGGCATTTTCTAGTTGGCATCTCCTGAACCTGACCTCCCTTCATTTTCTGGCAACTGTCAGAGCAGGGACTGAGCACACTTGGGAATATATTTAGACAACCTTCTCAAGTCTCAACATTAGTTGATTGGAAACCACTCTCCCTAAATACCCTGAAATCAACTGATGTGGGTTTGAGCCCAGCTCCCACTGGATGATCTTGGGCAAGTCCGTGGAAACTCTCTTCGTTTGTTTTCCTATCTGTAAAAATGGGAGTAACATCACCTACCTCATGGCAGTTGTTACAAGGATTAAATGAGTTAATAACATGTAAGTACTAATGGTGCCTGCTATACAGTGAGCGAGCGTCATGAATTTTTTTTAATTACTTTCAGCTGGTTTGTTTTAACATTTTCCGCACCTACACTTCCAGGTGCCAAGCTGGCCCTCATCGGTCCCATTCTCACAGAACTCTCTTCGGTCCCCTACATTCTTCCAGACCACTTTGAAGTATTTCAGACACCCGACCTAGGTTCTTGACCTCAGGTTTCCTGTCCCACCTTGGTTTGGTCCTTGACATTAATACATCTCAGGGCATCGAGTTATGCAGAATCTCAGTTACTAGTGAAGTATGTGTCCCTGCAGAGCACGTGGATGGAGATGATGCATATGTTGCATTCTAGGCCACCTGTTGATCCCATTCTTCAGACTTGGCCACGTGGCTCTTTGTAGCTGAGGTCCTCCAAAGCTGTAAAAAAACCTTGCATGCCCACCTGGGGCAAAGGCCAGGCTTGGGGCTTGGCCCTCTGCATCTCCTTCTTCACTGTGACAGTGAAAACATGTAGGACAATCAGCTTGGTACCTCTATGCCCCTGACAACTGCCTCTCTTGTCCACCCACCTGGCCCAGATCTCAGCCCCTCTCCACGTCCACTCACTGACCACCTTCTTCCCCGGCCAGGGCACCTACATCTACTTTGACTACGAGAAGTGGGGCCAGCGGAAGAAGGAAGGCTTCACCTTTGAGTACCGCTACCTGGAGGACCGGGACCTCCAGTGACACCAGCCCCCTCTATCTGACCCCTCCCCCGCATGCTGATCCCCCTGCCCAGGTGAGGGCCCTGCCCTGGAAGACTGGGGGAGGCCCAAGGCCATGGGTACCCTCCCCCCCAGGAAGCAGGGAAGAGGCAGGGAGGTTTTCCTCTCTGCCCTACCCTGGGGCCCTGGGGGCGAGGGCTGCCCCCTCCTCCCCTCCCCAGTGAGGGACATTTTTTGGTAAACCTATTTTCATTTTGGAAAATATTTATGAATAAATAGTTTTATATGACGGCTGGCAGATGCAGCCTCCTATCTTCCCCCAAAGAGTCAGTGGGCAGGAGTGGGGTTCTGTTGGCGGGGCCGCCGGGCCAGCTGGGGGTTGAACTGTGAGTTGTATCGTCGCCTCCGTTCATCTGTTTCTTCCTCTTCTGCCTGCCCTTGCTGGGAGACCTGGCCACGTACTCGGGCCAACAAGGCCTCTGCTCGGGCTCTCTCAGCTGCTTCCCGCTGAAGACGTTCAGCACGGAGCTTTTCTAAGGAAGGTGGCCTATAGGGAGAAGAGCAAGCGCAGAAAGCTTGTATTGAGAGAAGCTACTGCTACAAGAAGAGCAAGTCCTTGAACTCACTGAAAGTGCTGTGCCTCCCTGTGATTCTAAGCTCAGATAGCACGCCAAGTCATGAAAGCACACTGAGCAGTACCCCTTCTGCAGTTGACAGACCCTTCCACCTTACAGACAGAAACATGCTTTTGTTCTCTAACTACAGCTCAATTCCCAGCACCTACACAGTAGCTCACAACTGTGACAACAATTCCAGGGCATCTGCCATCCTCACACAGACAACACATGCAGGCAAACAATTCATGAAATTAAGTCTTTGTCCAGCAGTGTAGGTACATGCCTTTAATCTCAGCACTCAAGGCAGAGGCAGGCAGATCTCCGAGTTTGAGACTAGCCTGGTCTGTAGGGTTCCAGGACAACTAAGGCTACATTGGCCCTGTCTCAAAAAAAGCTGAGGACCAGAGTCAAATAGGACACCCTTCCCTATTGGCTGCCTTCTGCTATGGCAATGTAGTTTATAAAGGCAGCTGAGTGTGATGGGTGGGACACACTTTAATCCTAGGACTCGAGGTGGAGACAGGCAGATCTCTTGAGATCAAGGCCAAAGATCATAGCCAGTTCTAGGACAGATAGGGCAACATATTACTGAAACCTTGTCTCAGAAAAATCAAAATAATTAAAACCCTGAGGGTCACAACAACCTTTTTGTTTGTTTTTTGCGGGGAGGGTGGTTCTCTGTAGTCTTGGCTGTCCTAGACTCACTTCTTAGACTCCAACTCAGAGATCTGCCTGCTTCATCTCCTGGAGTACTGGAATTACAGGCGTGCGCCACCACAAACAGCTCACAAAGATCTTTTAAGGTATTTTGTATTTATCAGTAGTACTGAACTACAAATGGAAACTGTTTTGGGTGTATCAGCACAGACCTCTGGGAAGCAGAGGCCAGCCAGGGGGACATGGAGTGAGAATCTGTCCCAAAGAAAAGACAACCGAAGCCAGGCTGGGTGGCCACAATTGTGTTCAGTTTCAGGCGATTCATATTTGGTGCACAGACAAATAAGACACCCATGAACATTAAAGAAAAATCTAAGCCTGTTTACAAGTATCCACATACACCCTGAGCCATAGAGGAGATACTATTATAATCCTAAAGCCTGTCTGCACAGAAGTCCCTAACAACATTACCAAAAACAACTTCATCCTGTTTGCCCTGCTGAGCCTTTTTGTGGTACCCAGGCTGGTGTGCCAGGACCCCTGAAATCTCACTTTGCTCAACTGGGCTGAGTCTCCTCTTACCCTCTGGGCTGTTGTTTCCGAGGCCATGCCTCTCTGGGAGGATGACTTTCACTGCTGTGCTTTTTCTTTCCCAGGTGTTTCTGCATCTCCCTCAAAGGGTCTAGTCGGTTCTTGATCTTCTCATCTGGGCTTGGGCCTGGAGGGCCACCCCTTTGCCCTGGGGGGAGCTGGTACCAAGGAGGTTGAGTTTGAGCCTCTGCTGCACTCTGGCCCAAGTAGGTCAGGATGCCTAGTGCTTTCTCTTGCCTCTCCTGTGAGGGAAGAAAACAAATAGTCTTTTTCCATCCCTCTCGGAGCCCTAGATGTGGCAATAGGAAGACCCAGGTCCTGAGTGTCTGGAGAAACAGGGACTGGTAGGCAGCCATTTAATTAGGGAAATCACAAAGACCATCCAGGGGCCAGCTTTGCAAAGTGCCAGAGGCTTATCTGCAGGAGGAGGAAGAAAAGGAGCACAATGGCCAGTACAGTAATGGGAGAATGGAAGCTTCCTGAGTTCAAGTGTAGGCCTTTGGGAGCAGTGTAAGGAAAAACCTGCAAAAAGCAAAGCAGAAGAATAGTTCAGTGAGAGAAGGCACCTTCAAAGTTGGGAGATGTAGGAGAGCCACAGTACAATTCACAATTTGAGCCAGGTGGTGGGTGGCACACACCTTTAATCCCAGCAATCAGGAGGCAGGTGGACTGCTCCAGGACAGCCAGGGCTACACACGGAAACCATGTTTTTTTTAAAAAAAATTTTTTTTTTAAAGCACAAATGCCATCTGGAGGTGCATGGCTATGATCCCACCACTCAGGAGGCCAAGGCAGGGGGATTGAGAATGGGAGGGTACTGTGGTTGTGGGGTTGAGATCTCATCTCAAAATACTTTTTTTTAGTCCCACGAAAAAGAGAGATTAACATCAGCTACAATTTACATTCACTATAGCAGTAATCAACCTATTAGGTGGTACCTTTCAGACACATTCTAAATTTTCTGTGTGTCCACCTATCGCCATATTCTAACCGTTAAGTCACGGCCAACCCCCCACCCCAACCCCCCAAGGATTCCATCAACAGGTGAGGCCAGCTTACCTTCTCCTGTCGCTTCTCTTCCTCATGCTCTTTATTGCCTTTTGGCACTCCTTTCCCTTCTTCCAGCAGCTCCTTAAACAGGTCTACAGGGCCAGAGCTTGGAACTCCTACACCTGCTGCTTCCAGCTCAGGCACTGAGTGCTGGCGCCTGGCTTTCTTCCGTAGGAATTCTGTGCGGGCCTGGGAAGAAAGTTAACAGGCAGGGCACTCAGAACCTAGGAAGTGCTGGGGGTCCAAGAAAGGGCCATGGGCCTGGTAGTGGTGGCACACATTTTTTATCCCAGCACTCTGGAGACAGAGACCAGCAGATCTCTGTGCGTTCCAGGCCAGCCCGGTCTATGGATGAAGTTCCAGGACTAGGCATAGAAACCTTGTCTCGAAAATTCAAAGGAAAAAGAATATGTGTGTGTGAATGTGATGGAGTGGTGGTGGGGTATAGAGATACTGGGAGCCAGAAAAGACACCCATTTCTTAATTTTTTTTTTTGGGGGGGGGAGTAGGGGCATTTCAAGACAGGCTTCTCTGTAGCCCTGGCTGTCCTGGAACTGATTATGTAGACCAGGCTGGCCTTGAACTCAGACTGACCTGCCTCTGCCTCTGGAGTGCTGGAATTAAAGCATGGCCATCACCACCACTTGGCTAATAAACCATTTCTAACTTGGTGTTCAGAGTGGGTGTTTTTAAACAGTAAACTATTATCAGCTATAGTTGGGAGAAGATCCTGGCCTAAAGCAGAAGGCTTCCCAACCTGGAGTGATGATGCAAGAAAAACAGCTATAAAAAGGAAAACACAAACCCCACTCAGCATATAGGCAGGGTGGTGGTGGGTTGTTCATCCATAGGGTCCCTGCTTAGTGTATGTAGTTTGAAGTTCAGTCCCCAGCACATGTATGCGCAGACTCCCACCTTGTAAGTTAGCCAACAATGCTTTCTGGACAAACGATCTGAATTCTAGGTACGGCTCCAGTTCACTATTCCAAATTCATTAGTGATTTCCATGCCCTCCCCCCGCCATGGGTCTGAATTGCTCAGGATAATCACCGATTCACAATTCTCCCCTCTCTGCAGCCTCAGAGAAGAGAGAAGCCTCAGTATTGGGGATTACATGCTTCACTAAATCCAGCTACTTTCGAAACTTTAAAAGCCCACACAACTTTATGAGCTGATTGGCCAAGGGACTTACGTGTAAACCAAGCTGATCAAGTAACTATTAAAGCCTGTGTATGTGTGTGGGGGGGTCTTCAATACCTATGACAGAGGCAAGCAGATGTCTGAGCTAGAGACCAGCCTGATCTACATAGACATTTCCAGGCTAGCACCCCACCCTTTAAATAACTTTTTTAAAGCTGTTTTTTTTTTTTTTGTCTTTTTTTTTTTTTTTAAGATTTATTTATTTTATTGTCTATACAACGTACACCTTCCGCCTGCACGTACACCTTAACGCCAGGAGAGGGCATAAGATCTCATTATAGATGGTTGTGAGTCACCATGTGGTTGCTGGGAATTAAACTCAGGACCTCTGGACGAACAAATAGTGCTCTTAACCTCTGAGCCATCTCTCCAGCCCAGTGAGACCCTTTTCAAAGAAAGCCCCTGGGGGTGTTTATCTGGGGGAGCAATGAGGGAGGACGAACATGTCCAACAGAGTGAACCTCAGGAACTTGTCCGTCCTTTGCCCTCCTCGCTGAAGCTGTGGCACTCAGGGCAAGACGAACGCACCCCTTTCTAAGGATTCAAAATTGTTCGAAGAGAGATTTCTCAAGACAAGCGCTCGGCAGGAAGGGAGCATAGCTTAACTTGTGCGGGCGACCTATGAAGTAATCAAAATATTTACCCAACTCTTTATGTGCTAGTCTCCGGTCATTTCAACTACACCAGCGGGAGAATCTGGGAAGGCTTCATGTAAGTCAGCACAAGATTTGCAGAGAGATCATCAAGCCTACCGACCCGCGCCTGACAAGTGACGGACCCCGCCGTGCTTCTGGGCCGGCCCTAGACTTACCTCTTGCTGAGCGAGCAGCACCTTCCGCTCACGCTCCTTCTCCTCCTCCCGGGCCTGGGCTTCGTCGCGCCGCACTCGGGCGACATTGTCCTTGTTCCGGACATGCCAGCTCTTCTTGGGCAAGATATTCATGGCTCGGGAGCCGACTTCCGACCAGCAGGCCCACTCTCCAACACTTCCGATTGGCGCGAGGATGCCCCCGCCCCATGGTCCCACCCTTGCCTGTCCATTGGTTCTGAGGCAATTATCACGCCCCTTCCTGGCCTTTGTTAGCGGTGATTGGCTGAGAGGCTTTCCACCACAGCCAATCCTAAGCGTTCACAACCTGAGTTGCTCCACCCCGGACGCTGCTGGAAAAGGCTGGTGACGCGACGCCTTGCCAGCACTTCAGGCAAACCCAAACCAGCCCTTCCCACAGACAGGGACCGGGACCCTCCACAAACCCTGCCCACGGCTTCAGGACCGGGTTTCAAAACGCATAGCGGCCTCTACAGTTGCTCTTTAATACGGCTCAATTGAGATTGTGGCACGGTGGCGGAGGGCGTGGGATTCGATTCCATTGCTTGATATGTGAAGTCACTGGAGATTACAATGGGTCTGAGGGGCTGAAGGTGGGACGGCATTTCCAGCCAGAATGGTCAGAGAGCTCCATTCGTTGAGCTCAGAGCTACAGCTCGCTGAGCTAGGAAGACTTTATTCTGCGCTTCCTGCGGGCAAAGAGGGGTTAAAGTGAGGCACACCTCTTCACCAACGGTCCTCTTTTATTGTTCTCACGAAGCCCTTCCCGGGAAACCAGCCTGGCTCACCGTCTCTATCTGGCGTTTGAGCTCAGAGATAAGGCGTCCATAAGAGTTAGCCAGGGCTACTGTATATGCCATCAGGATGCTAAGGAAGAGAGGAATGAAAATCACTCTAGGAAAAAATATCATTTTCATCTAATGGCTCAAGAGCATTGGCTGCTCTTCCAAAGGACAGGGTTCAATTCCTAGCACCCATTATGGCAGCTCACAACAACTGTCTAACTCAAATTCTGACTCCCTCACACAGACATACAAGCAGGCCAAATACCAACACATATAAAAATTAAATGAATAAGTAAATTATTTTTAAAAAGAAACCAAGATCAGGTCCCTCAAAACCCTTCTTGAGATTCCTAACACCAGCCTTCATCTTCTGCCTCAGACCCAATAGTCCAGACCCCAGTCTTCCTTGGATGCCCAAGATCTGGGGTCCAAACAGTAGCCTTTCTTGCTCAGACCAGAGATCCAAGTTCCATGTCACTCACCCCCTGACCCTTCATCAAACCCAGAAATCCAGACTCTAGCCCTCCTTTCTCAGACCCAGAGGTTCATACGTCCACCCCATGTCTAGGCTGCAGACCTCCTAACCCAGTGTTCCAAACCCAGAATTTTTTTCTTAGACCTAAGAGTCAAGACCCCAGCTCTCCTGCTCCTGATCTAGGCATCCAGGCCCCAGTTCTCCTCCATTGGACAAAGGTACCCAGCTCCTTTGGTGGCCTGCCCCAACTCTTTTCTCTTTCAAACACTAAATCATACATATCCAAACTCTGACCTGAAGTCTGGAGCCACTCACCTAGAAAAGATCAGAAGGGGTACAGTAAAAGCCTGGGTCCCCAGAAAGTAGAGAAAGTTCTGGGCAGTCTGAGGGAGGCTGTCAATGGATTCAGGGATCTGGGCCCAGATGGACAACTTCCCTTGGAATGGGCCACACAGCTTAGAAGGTGGGATCCTGCAGGCCAAGACATGTTGGATTCAATCAAGTAGGGCCAGAGTGGGAACCCTGCATGAGCACAAAGGGAAACAGGAACCTTGTACTTACAGGAAGATGCTGTAAAGCACAGGGACAGCAGAGATTGCCAGACCCACAAGCAGCACCAGGGGAAAAAAGAAATTTGCTGTGGATGCTCGGAAGGTGCGGGAGGCCGGTGAGTAGATGGAAAAGAGTGTCATCTGGTGAGAAGTGAGGAAATAGAGATCTGAGACCTAAGTCAATCCTTTGTTTTTCCTCTTGGAGTTTTAGCCTCTTTGGGGCAGAGCCCAGATATCTGAGCCATGTGTTGCTTAGTCCTAGACGTCAGAATATCTCAGATCCCACCTTCTCTGACTTCCAGTGCCCTCCTCCCCTCCTCGGGGCACAATACTCAGAGGCTCTGGCCTCCTCCTTTCCCTAGCCTGGAAGTACAGTCCCCACCACCTCTCTGCTCAGACCTCAGGATCGTCCTCAGACTCACCTTCTTCAGACAGAAAAGGATCAGGAACTTGGCGGAGTTGATCAAAGGTAGTAAAGGGCAGAAAAAGCTTCCCACCCAGACCACTGTCTGAGCATAGATGAGTCCCAGCACCTCGTCGGGCACCTGGAACTCCAGAGTCCCTGATAGACGACCCAATGCCCCAGGACAGAGGCCACAGAGTATCCTGAAGAACAGGGTGGGGCAGTCATAGGCTTGCCTTTTGGTCTTCTCAAACCTACCATACAGCCCATTCTTTTGAAGAGGCTTGTGAGGAGCTGTGAGGTGTGTTCCGGGACAACTCAGTTTGTATAGTTAGCTGGCCTGAAATACTAAGGTGGTAGGAGTGGGCAGGGCCATCCTGGCACAATTATTTAATCCCAGAACTTAGGAGGCAAAGGCAGGTGGATCTTTGAGTTTGAGGCCAGCCTGGTCTACAGAGCAAGTTCCAGGACAGTCAGGGCTTTAAAAAAAAAAAAAAAAAAAAAAAAAAAAAAAAAAAGGAATAGAGTCAAAGAGAAGTAACCAAAAAACAGGGAGTGGGGATTTCTGGATTTAGAAGGTGAGGGGTGCTGGAGTAATGGCATTGGCTGCTCTTCCAGGGGACATACAGTTCAATTCCAGTACCCACAGAGCAGCTCACAACTGTCCTGTAACTCCAGTTCCAGGGAATCTGATAACCATTGCACACCCATACAAGCAGGCAGAAAACCAATGTACATAAAAATAAAACAATTAAAAAAAAGTGGGTGGGGTGCTGGGTGGGGTCAATCAAAGCCAGCTTCAGGCCAGCCTAAACTACAGTCAGACACTGTCTGAGAAAAATAAAGCACGGATGGGAGAGATAGTTAGTGCTTAAGAGCCTGTACTGAGCCAGACATGGTGGCACACACCTTTGTTTCCAGCACTTGGGAGGCAGAGGCAGGTGGGTCTCAGTGAATTCAAGACTACCTGGTTTCCATAGAGAATTCCAGGACAGCTGTAGAGATCCACCCACACAAACACACATGGGGGTGGTGTTGGGGTGGGGGGGTTCCTCCATCAGGTGCCTCACAAACAACTGTAACTTCAGCTCCAGGGAAATGACACTCTTTTCTGGTTTTCATGGGCACCTGTACTCATGCACATACCCACCCCCCCAGCCTCCCCACCTGACACACATAATTAAAATAAATCAATAATATGTATACTATACATACATGTATATGGATCAGGAGAGATGGCTCAGCACTGAAGAGCAGTTGCTGGACAATCACGAGAGCTAGAGTTAAGATCCCAGACCTCAAATAACAAGTCAGGCATCCTGGCATGCCTGTAACCTCAGCCACCAGAGGACCAGAGATAAGATTACCAGGGCTCCCTGGCTGTGAGACCCAGACGTAGGGAGAAATACCCTGCCTCAAAGGAATAGGCAGAGAGCAACAGAGGAAGACATGCAAAGCCCTCTTCTGACCACTCCACACACAAGCATACAGAATATGCTCACACAGACACACCAATATATAAATAAGATTAACAGAATAATAAAGATGGCTGGTGTAGCTAGACAGTGATAAACTGCCTTGCTTGTACAAAGACCTCAGTTAAAAAGCAAAGAAAAAAGAAAAAAGGTGGAGCAAAACAGTTTCATTTGTGTGGGGGTGGGGACGGGCTGCTTCAATAAAGGCAGGGCTACAAGGAAGGACAGGACACTTACTTCCTAGGAAACTGGACCAACATCACGACCAACAGGCCCATCAGCAGATCAAAGAGCACAAGTTTGTACATCTCCTGGCCCAGACGAGTCTCCCAGCACTGAAGAAGAAATCAGTGAGACAGATCCTCCTCCCTGGAGGCTCAGGCAGCTGAGGCAGCAAGCATTGGAGCCCCCACATGAATTGCATGGGTGGGAGCTTCTGTGTTGATAAGCACTCACACCGTGTTCAGCTTCCTCTCAAACCAAGGGAGGGTCTACCCAGTTCCAGGTATCCCTGTCCTATCTCGAGGCCCACAAATGCCACATGTGCACCCGCAGTGTTCTCACCGGAAGCTCTTTGTAATTGTAGCCACAGGCCTTGCATCCTTCTGCCTCCATGTTTCCCCCACACGTGATCTGATTCCACAGAGAGAACAGAAGGAGCACTAGGGAGGCCAGGCGCAAAAACACAGTCCTGCAAGGTGAAGATAGAGGAAGGTACTCACGCTGGTGCAGGGCCGCCTTCTGGATACACGCTCATGATTTCCCTCACTATATGCTTTATCCTACCCCACCCCGACTTTTCACAGAGGAAGGAACTGAGTCTCAGTGTCAGGATTTGAGAACAAAACTCCCTATGCATGGGACTTCTTCCCTCTCTCTCTCTCTTTTTTTTTAAGATTTTCTTATATGTTTTCCTGTGCATGTATGTGTGTGTGTGTGTGTGTGTGTGTGTGCGTGCGCGCGCGCGCACCACATGCATGCTGAGGCCTGCACAGGCAAAAAGAGGGCGTCTGATCCCCTGGATCTGAATATTTAGGCACTTGGGAGCTTCCCGATATGATTGCTGGGAACCAACTCCTGGTGCTTTCCAAGGGTGGGCAGTACTTGCTCTTACCCACTGAGCCATCTCTGCAGGCCCTCTTTGTCTTTAAAAAAAAAAAAAAAATGTGTGTGTGAATGCATGCGTGCCGCAGAGGACAACTCTGGAGTGATTCTGGGGATGAACCCAGATCGCCAGACTTGCACAGCATGGACCTTTATCCTGAGTCACCTCACCGGCCCAGACTTCTGTCTTCTTTGTACAACCAGTGACCCTTCTCCACCCATCTCTTTCCCCCACCACCCCGCGCCCCCAGCCCAGCCCACGAGTCCAGAACCGAAGCAGGATCAAGATGATCTGACGGCTGCGAGTGTAGCCCTCTAGTGAGGCAATGAACTTGAACACAGGAGGCAGCACGATGTTAAACACGGAAATGAAGATGGATGGAAGATAAT